TGAACTAAAGAGGGCGCTAGATAAGTATTTTTGGTTGTCAGAGAATCATCGAGGTATCTTAATTACTGTGAAAACAGTAACAAAAACAAAAATAATATTTTTTTTCCTAATAGAACTAATTGAAAAAGAATCATATAAAAAGTTGCTATAATTGAAATAGGTTACATTACACAGAAGACTAGTAGTTACCCACCTGAGAGAATTGAAATGCGTGAGTGACTGCTTCGACGGTCTGAGAATTTTGAGAAGCTAATTTTTTCAGGGAGTGTTTGTTGACAATAGCAGGTACATCAACAAAAATATTTTTAATAAAGCCACGTAGGCCTACAATTTGCGTTTCACTTTATGTTTAATTGCAGCACCCTAATTATGTACACAAACATATCATTAGGCCTACTTAAACAATCAAGAAATACTAATACTAATACTAATCAATTTTTAGTACCGGTAACTTGTCAGTGAATTAATGTATTCACGTACTTTTGTACTTACAACTGTGTGAGTTTGATGCTGGCAACTGCACTCTCTAACCATTTTGTATATCTTAAATAAAATCAATTTCTTCTGATTTTAAATACATTTTCCCTGGATTCGTGATAATTCGGTATACGCATGGACAGCTAAATGCGTGACAAATTGATGATCTCGCGTGTGTTTCTTTAAAATGCGTGTTTCTTCTAAAATCAATTTGAAATGAGATACTGTTGGTAACAATTCAAAAGATGTCAACCATTTTAATTTTTAGCAAAATCAAAACTATAAGTAGGACCGTATTGATGAAATCTTAGTACACTCGAGTGACCATATTCGCCAATTAAATAAGAATATTTGGTATAGCATTTTTTTTTTTTTATTATTAATCACTCTTTTAAATATTCTTTATAACATTACAAACCTACCATGTATGGACTATGCCTCTGGCTTTTGAATTATTTATTTGAAGGACAAGAAGTGTGTGTGTTGATAAGTTTCGAGTAAGCAACTTATTATACCGTACTTTATGAAAGTAATCTGCTTGCCGGAAAAACCATTGGAAATTTCATAATTTCAAATGCTATTATTTTCATTTGTACTACAATACATTATTACGGCAACTATGGGATTAATCTAATGCTTTACTTCCTGCTTATGAGTTTATTTTCTCCTTGTTGTGTAAAATCATCACAAAACGAAAGTGATGGAGCCTAGATTTGCTCGATGGCAGGGGAGGGGCAATGTTCCAGTACCTCTGAAGGGTCCCATGGGGCGCTTCCAGACCCGTAAGCTCTGACAATTGAGATATTTTTATTTTTTATGCTTAAGGTTCGTAATCGATTGCACAGTCTCATATTCTGTAAAAGCTACATATGAAGAAGTATTTTCGATTTTAAAAATGACTATTGTTTGATTGATTTATACAAAATAACTAGAGACTTCCTCATGAACGTAGGGATTACGACAAAAGAATTGATTGATATTGTATTTATAATTGTCCTAATATAAATGGGTCTAATTAGGCCTAAAGTAGAGAGATGTGTTTCTCTGTCAAGTTATACGAAAACCATCAATCTAAAAACCAGACCTACTAATATGTAATTGTTAACCACGAAATATTTAATATCAGTTATCATGCCTTTATCAATAGTTAAATATGAAGTTAATATGGGGACAATTTGTGAATGTGAAGTCTTACATGAAAGCATTATTCTGGATCGCGAGAAAATTTAACTTAAACATATGTTGGCTTAGTGTCCCCACTTTATTTGGTTCAAAACACGGCCAATGAATGAATGAATCAATCATCAATCAAATTACTGGATCCATTTTGATACGGTAGCACTCATACAAAATGCATGGTGCATACATGATTAAAGAAACATACAAAAACAAAATATGCCTACATTAAATTACAAGCTATTGATTTAGATTCATAGTTAATTTAGACGAGCAACGATCATCTCTGATAACCAAAAATACTAGTCTAGCGCCCTCTTTAGTTTCGATGTTTTTGGTTGCCTCCGAAAAACAACTGTACAATATATATCTCCGTTAAATTATCCGCGTCTGTACTGTGTAATTATTACGAAATATTGTATGTTATCATATTGTAGTTAAATAATTTTTTGAGTTTTTAATTCAAAAAATAAAATATCAAATGCAAACCAAAATTTTTATTCCAAAACAAAATTATAAATAATAGTGTAGGCTTAAAATTTATCCAAATGATAAAGAATAGACAAATTTTGTCTGAAGTTTGTATAAAATTCTTTGTAATTTTTTTAATTAGTCAATATAATATATAAGTCTTTGTATTTGTTATAAAACTCTAATCACGAGGAAGGCAATTACGATGTTTAAAATATAAAATTTCGCAAAAAGTATGAATCCGAACAGAGATTGGCAGCCCATGCCCTATAATACCGGTAGCCAATGATAATGAATAGGCAAATTTTGTCTGAGAAAAGTATAGGTTTAAAGCTCGGTAAAATCGTTAATTAGTCGTTAAAACATATATGTGTTTGGATTAGTTTTAAAACTCTACTCAAGAGAAAGTCAAATATGATCTTAAAAATATAGCTTTAAAAAAAATATATAATTCCAAACTGATGGGCCTACAGAATTTATGTATCTAATGATAAAGGATAAGCAAATTTTGTCTGAAAGTAGTATAGGTTTAAAGCTTGGTAAAATCGTTAATTAGTCTTTAAAACATATATATGTTTGGATTAGTTTTAAATCTCTACTCAAGAGAAAGTCAAATATGATCTTTAAAATTTAGCTTTTCAAAAAAAATATGATTGCAAACAGATGGGCCTACAGAATTTATGTATCTAATGATAAAGAATAGGCAAATTTTGTCTGAAAGTAGTATAGGTTGAAAGCTTAGTAAAATCGTTAATTAGTCGTTAAAACATATGTGTTCGGATTAGTTTTAAATCTCTACTCAAGAGAAAGTCAAATATGATCTTTAAAATTTAGCTTTTCAAAAAAAATATGATTCCAAACAGATGGGCCTACAGAATTTATGTATCTAATGATAAAGAATAGGCAAATTTTGTCTGAAAGTAGTAGGCCTATAGGTTTAAAGCTTGGTAAAATCGTTAATTAGTCGTTAAAACATATATGTGTTCGGATTAGTTTTAAATCTCTACTCAAGAGAAAGTCAAATATGATCTTAAAAATTTAGCTTTTCAAAAAAAATATGATTCCAAACTGATGGGCCTACAGAATTTATGTATCTAATTATAAAGAATAGGCAATTTTCTCTGAAGTCAGTATAGGCTTAATGATAAAGAAAAATTTAAACTAGTGGATAAAACATATCATTGTCTGTATTCTTTTCAAACCTTTATACAAAAGAAATATATCTAGAGTGTTAAAAATACAAAATTCCTAAAAAATTATGATCTGAACAAAACCCTAAATTAACATAACATTTTTCAATGCAAAAGAATAGGGAAAAGCGTTCAGAAAAAAAAATGATAAAATTTACGATTTTTAAACGATTTCCTTTAAAAAGTTAGTTAATTTGTAATAAAATTTGGCGCTAATGCACTTTAGTACTGTAACACTTCTATCTTCAAAACTTGTCTTTTTACCTACTGTGAGCTCCTAACAATATCTTACGATGGTTCTTCATTAAGATTCTGCTTAATAACATCCGTTTTTAGGCATTTTATTACTAAAAACCACGGCTTTTAACGCCTACGGCTCCATCCGTCTTCGGGTCCAATGGCGAATTGGCGATCGATCCTAATGCTGTTGCCAGAATTCAAACTTTATGATTTGGTGTTGCCAGAATTAGTAAATCAAAATGAAGCTTCAGATATTCAGAACTTATTGTAGAGCGCAAGACTCCACTACTATGCAACAGTATGACAATTTCTATGGCTCGTGAAAGAAGGGAAAAGGAAGGCAGCAGAACATGCATACATTATGAAAGAATGTATAAATAAATATATGTAGGTCCTAAGTGCAATGTCCTAACTGTAATTATGGCCATGATTGACAAATGATTGATTGATTGTAATAATTTTTAGGTCTAAATATAATACAGGTCCTATGCATTTTATGGTCCAAATGTAATAAAGGTTCTAAGTGTAATGATTTTTGTGTCTAAATGCAATGAAGGTCCTATGTGTAATAAGTTTTGGGTCTAAATGTAATAAAGGGTCTAAGTGTAGTAATTCTTGGGTCTAAATGTAATAAATGTCCTATGTGTAATAATTTTTGGTTCTAAATGTCATAAAGGTTCTAAGAATTTTTGGGTCTAAATGTAATAA